CATACCAACATTTACAGCATTTACAAAAACAAAACAAAAACATAGAAACCAAAAGGTAAACAAAACCTCATAAGTATATATATATATATATAAACAAATGTCATGCTTCATATTGCACGCACATAAATTAGCACATCCAAAGTGCCTTACATCTGAACTTCTCTCAGCTATTTTCCCCCCAGACTGACAATTAACACAATTTAATTGTGACCATTTGATTGCCTCTATAATTATCAACTGCTTCTACATGTTCTGCAGCGGTACTTGGTCCTGTTGTACAGTAATGTGTGCATTTAAAGGTACTATTGGTTTCAAAGTTTGTTGAGTGCAGACACCAGGCATCAAGCTAAAAACACTCAGGAATATGTCAGCAAATGTCTTTGTAACGGCARAGTGAATATATAATATATATATTTATATATGGAAATGAAAATAAAATGTGTATTGTGAAGCAAATTTGTATCACTTTATTTTTTCATGAGAATCTGTTTTATTTGTGATGAGACTTTTGTATCTTTAAACAAATCTTAAGGCAACTAATGGAATGAAAAACTGCACATGAATCAAACCAAATATTCCACTAATTAATGCAATAATGTGTCAGTGTGAGGAAAAAACTGGAGGTTTTTGTGTTTGTTTCCACACATGCATCCTCCYGTTCTTCACGAAAACTAACTTCAGGAAACAACTCAGACATTTTGAAATAAAGTTCTGTAGGATCAGCCAAATCTGCATGACTGAAGTTTAGAACAATAACATCTTCAGCAGCTCACGGGTATGGAGGAACAATCCTGCCATAATTAAAAAATAATATAGAAATAAATAAATGGCATGATAAAGTCAGTAATGTGGTAAATATTGCATCCAAAAAATAAAAAGAACTTATTTTATTATACAGTGCAACATAAATACCTTTTATCATTTTCAACCGTATTATTTTAACATAATCACAATTATTACATTATAATGATTTTCAGAATCAGAAAGAGCTTTATTGCCATTATCAGTGATAAACACAGACTAGAAATTTTCAGTTTAGTTCGGAGAAGACACACATAACAAACATGGTAGAACGAATGTCCACGGTCTTTCGCACTGTTGCGCTACCTTTTGCAGTTTAAAATGCACACACACTAGGAAAGGTGAGTTTTAAAAAAGAGCTTTGATCCTATGTTTTACACAAAAACACAGAACCATGCGCTCAAATAACCACTCTGCAGTGCAACGCAGCAAAGGAGGGGAGTGGGGTGAGGGGACAAACACATAAGGTGGGGTTCAGCGGAGCCGGTGATGTTCCAGGTTAGTACTCTGTGTTGGAACCAATCAAAGACCTCCAGAGTCCAAACAAGTTGTTATCAGCCAAAGCACAAATCACCAAATTCCAAATGTTCCAAATTCCAGTACCTCCACGCCTCTCTCCATCTGAAACTTCACCCAGGTGTAATCTTACTCCTCACGGGCACACTGCTGAACTATGATCCTCGTCAGAACCACATCCAGTTTGCGACTTATATCCCCCAGCATTTGAGTTTGTGCGTTTCCAGTRCGGGAGATTCCATCCACGGTCCCTGACAGCTTTTGACATTCCAGGACTCTTGTCAGGATCATTTTCATTTTCCGATAAACTCCTCCACAGCCGATCAGCAGGAATCCAGTTATCATGAATCCAAATATATATAGACCTTCAACATCTTCAATGGAAAGCAGGGCCAAACAAATGAGGTTCCACCCCCAAGACCCAGACACATGGCCCGCCTCGACAGTTCCACTGGGACAGCTGCGCTCCCCACGCTCCAATCTCAGTGTKGAAAAAATAGTGTCGATTGTGTTCAGAGACCAGTTGACCAAATCCATAATTCCTTTTGTTTTTGGATGATAGGTAGAAGAAGAAAGGCTTGACACAGCTGCAAAGCAGTGAAGGAGGGACAGGTTCGGGAGAGAAAGCAAAAAGCGTCCGACTCCTCTGAAGGCCACGCCAAAAATAAATAAATTAATTAAAATAAAATAAAAAGTTTACCAATCTCTCTTCTCTCTCAATTTTCAAAAAATTTAGAAAAACTATTTTTGTAGCAACTTGATAATTTCATGGAAAACATTTATTATTCTCTGACTGTCAATATGGGTTTAGAGCAAAAAGATCAACTTCAGTGGCAGTAACGCAATTAATAGAAGATGTAGCAAATGCAACTGATAAAAAGGAGTTTACTGTTGGAGTGTTTATAGACTTTGCAAAAGCATTCGATACTATAGATTATGGCTTACTGTTAAGTAAATTGGAGCGATGTGATGTGAGAGGATTAGCACATTCTTGGACAAAAAGTTATTTGGATCATAGATATCAGTATGTACAAATAAATGTGAATTCTCATTTACTGAATGTAACCTGTGGAGTACCACAAGGGTCGGTACTGGGTCCAAAACTTTTTTTACTTCATATAAATGACCTTTGCAATGTATCTGAGTTATTAACATTTACCTTACTTGCTGATGATACTACATTATATCGCTCTGGTAATAATTTGGAACAGCTTCTGAATACAATGGAAATAGAATTAAAGGTAATAAAAATTGGTGTGATAAAAATAAACTATTACTAAATCATGATAAAACAAAATATATTGTATTTAGTACTAAAGGAATAAAAATGATGTAAAACTAAAGATAAATAATACTGAAATAGAAAGAGTGCATGAAATCAAATTTTTAGGAGTGACACTTGATTACAAATTGAATTGGAAAGCTCATATTGAAAAGTGAAAGCTAAAATGTCAAAAACTATTGCAATATTAAATAAAATAAAACATTTTCTAAATTTAAAAACATTATATATGTTATACAGTTGTTTAATACTTATATACATGACTTACTGTGTGGAAATTAGGGGAAATTCATACAAAACCAACACAAAACCTATGCTATATGCTTCAGAAGAAAGCTATATGAATTGTAAATGCATTAGATTATTGTCATCTAACTAATGACATATTTATCACATTGCATACTTTAACAATTTATGATTTAGGAGAGCTTAGAACAGCATTGACAATACACAAAGCTTATACTAAAGCCCTTCCACATTATATACAGAAGTGGTTCGAAATGAAAGAAACAAACTATGAATTCAGAAAGAATGATTTATTTTAAAAAACAAAGGTTAGGACAAATATTAAAAATTATTGTACCTCTGATGTATACCCTACATTCATGTCCACAATACATGGACATGTAATTATGTCCTGGGAGGTTAAATTTAATTTATTTTTATTATTATTATTATTTTTTAACAGATGATGAAAATCAGTTGTATGAATAGAGAACTTCAATCCCCAAAAAACATTCAAGGACAAGTGTCATTTTGGCTGTTTTCACAAACTTTCAAGGGCCTTGAAATCATTTTTTCAAATTCAGACTTTCAAGGATTTCAAGGACCTGTGGGAACCTGCAACAAAATGAGAAAAATAATCTCAATTTAATAAAGTATTACCAATGTGACATGAATTATTAATGGAAATGTGTTAGTGTTTGACATCTTTGATTCACAAATTCAAAAACTACATTATTAAAATACAGAACACTTCATCTTAATGAGTGAACACCTGTTTTATCTTCACGTTATTCCCATTGGAGAACAGGAAGACTCAGTTTGGAGAGGAGGGTCGATGTTAATTTGATTCAAATTTTTGCCATTTTATTCAGTTGTTTTGGGGTTAATTTGACTTTTTTTTTTGCATGTTTTTCTTGTTTCAATTCCGCTTTACTTTTACCCTCTTCTCAGTTTTCATTCAATAGGTTTCCTTTATTTATTTATTTATTTATTTATTTTTTGGGTGGGGGGGGGTCACCTCCTACCACCTCTGATGGTGTTTACAATAGGTCAAACACTGACAACTCATCAGTAGAACTGCTTAATAACACTAAATATGAATACAGTGTCATATTTTAGAACTAAAATGCTATTTAAAATGAAAAACAATCCGGGGGGCCCACATGTGGTTTTTGTTTCAAGTAGTTATCTTTACATTTAGGTGTGCCTGTGTGGTGTTTCTGCTTATCCCACAACCTACAGATTCCCACCGTCACACAAGTTTGGGCTCTTTTTCCATCCATTTTAACCACTTCTCTTTCTGGTCACAGCCGTCTCCAGCAGTCCCTGTGTGAGAGACGGGGGACACCTGGACAGGTGTCATGTCCACAGTGATTAACACTTGCAAACTAAAAAGACACAATTGAACGGTGTCTGACGCCCCCTGCTGGCTGATTTTATTAAATTGAAATAAAACGTTTTCATCTCTGTAGTWCAAAGTGAGCAGAATTATTTAAAAGGAAGTTGGCATTGTCTTTGCAGCTTTATTCATTCTCCTAAAACAGCATTCAAGTTTTACAAAACATTCATTTTTACCCATGTTCATCAGAACGTTGTCTCAGAATAAAGCCATGGCAAACCTCTAATGCTCAAACAGCAGACAGATGTTTCATTCAGTTTATTGAGAGAATTTTATTGGCTGTTCAGAGAAGGGCGGTTCTTATCACAACCATTTGGTCTGAAGGTTAAGTGTTGCTTCTTACAACATGATGATGACATTAATGATTCTTAGTTTTAAGTGTCTTTGACAAACAGAGAGCCTCTCCACACCAGCGATCTGCTCCAAACTGAAGCCTCAGGCTGAGACGAGACGCTGAGCTTTGAGCTCCGCTGCATCTCCTCCTTCCATTCATACCAACATTTACAGCATTTACAAAAACAAAACAAAAACATAGAAACCAAAAGGTAAACAAAACCTCATAAGTATATATATATATATATAAACGTAATCAAGTAGAACTGCAAGTGATAAAAATGAAAATAAAAGATCAAAGGAAAACGAATGTTCCTGGCAGTTTACAGAAACTCTTGCTTCTTTTTCGAGGATGGCTTTCACTTCTTCAAAAAACCTAGAAGAGAAAATAAAGTTTAGTTAAACTTTTAGGACTTCAAAAAAATCTGTCTTAAACCTGAACTGGCACAGAGCACAATCAGCTGCTTGCAAAAGTATTCACGCCCTTGGTATTTTGTTTTGTGGAGTATTTTGTGCAGATCCATTACTTCAATCCAAATGAAAATCGAGTTAAGTTTCAGGTTTTAAAGTCTGTAAAAGAGAATTCCAGAGGAGTGAATAGTTTTGCTCTAAAGGTTGGGGGCACCTGAAAAACTCACCTTCTTTGTCTAGAATGGTTTTAACATCAGCAAACACCTGGAAAACAATGACAATAACATTTAGAATTTTACATCAGTTTTTCTGTTTATGTTTGCATTTTTTCATGTTTACTGTAAATTAAAATGTTTCACTTTATGCACAAATTGTTTCATTTGGGGACACAACTCTTAATATTTTTCATTAAATGTTGATGTTTACCTTGATTGTTGTGTAGCTGAAAATAAACTCATGATAATCAAACATTTTTTAAACCAGGGGCGGAGCCAGAGCAGCGGGCAGGGGGATGGCTGAAATCTGATTGGCCTGCCCAGCTGATTGACAAGTCACTGACGTGGAATTATAGTCCAAGACAGAAAAGATAGTTTGATTTAATATAAATATTCTACTTTTTCATCCAAATTTCACACATAATTATTGGTTTGAATATCCTTTTAATAAAAATAAATAAATAAATATCTGAAAGTGGTGTCAAAAGGAAACATCTGAATGGAAATATTTTAAAAAATAAATGTTACCAATTATTTTAATATATGATATGAACTATAGTCATCCTATTTACAATGTGTTAACATTTTTAAGACTTCTGAAGATTGATTTAAGACCTTTTAAGGCTAATTAAGGCCTTAATTTTGGATTGATGATTTCAAATCCTTTTAAAACTTTTTAAGGATCCGCAGGAACCCTGTGTAACTCCACAAGCCCCTCATTCAGGTGTGGCTCAGATCAACTCGTTTTGAGGCTGTCTCTTTAAATCCAAACGAAGTGCTTCAAGCCCCGCCCCCCTCCAGCTTTCAGAGCGGTTCATTCTAAGTTTGATAGAGGGTTTTATGACTATATAGCCACGCAGAAACTTTTTATTTACAAATAATAAAAAGATGTCCAGACTCCATCCAGCCTTACGTGTTAGAGCCAGAGTCTGACCCAGAACCAGAGTCTGACCCAGAACCAGAGTCTGACCTAGAACCAGAGTCTGACCCAGAGCCAGAGTCTGACCCAGAACCAGAGTCTGACCCAGAACCAGAGGAGAATGAAGACCACTAAACTATAGTTGGTAAGTCCAGACCTTATTTAGCAGTTCTGTCACAAATACTGTGATGTAATAGTTCAGAAATCATCATAAAAAACAGAGAAAACTGAAAGAGTTAAAACACATGACGCAAACAGAATACAAAGATCACTCTGCAGTACCAGGAGAGACTAAACTCAACTTTTCTGCCTCCTAGAGACTCCAAGTCCAACAAAATGTATTTAATGGGTAAAAAAGTGGATTTTGCAGGATATATCTACTTTAAAGGGTGAAGTCTATATGAAATAGAACAGAATAGTTTGCTTTATTTGTATGTGTCCCTCTGAAACAGCCTTGGCCACTCCTTTGCTCCGCCCCGCTTTCAACCTGGTCCGTTCACCTTCCACACGTCTCCCACCTCTGTCCTGAAAATGGCGTTAACGGCCAAGCCCTGTGCTCACCTCGTCCACAGAACGAGAAGCGTCTACCGTGCGCACCTTCCCCTGTTTCTCGTAGAGTTGGACGATGGGTCGTGTAGACTGCAGGTAGGTTTGGATTCTGCGTAAGAGAGGAGCACAGCTGGTTATCGGGGTCAAGCGTCATGGGGGACTCAAAGGGGACACAAATTGGGTCAAAACACACGTGCAGGTATCCAGCCGTCAGGAAAATAGGTCGACGGAATCTCTACTGTTTTAAATACACAAAGACAGGATAAAATATACAAGTCCATAAGAACTCCTGGAAGGTGTGTCAGAGCTTTAGGCTCAGCATTGCGAGACATTACGCTCAGAATAAGTGTTCTGAATGACTTTCATCTACTATCACATCACATTTTAAATCAGTATCTGTAAAACTGACTGAGTTTTAGCAATTTATGTGTTGACCAATACTGACTAGATGATTGACAGACTCCTGTTATTGGTTGTAGACAAATAACCTACAGGGTTCATGCAGGTTTCAGTAAGTTAAATTTAAGACCTTTTAAAGACCTTTTAAGACCATTATGACTGACATTTAAGACCAAACCGACACATTGATAAAAACATTCAAATGGTCCCAGAAATTTTAACATACAAACCTTTAATTGCTATCAGTTTAGCTATKAAAGAACATTTACTTTTAATAAAAGTCACTAAATTATTTTAATAAAACAGTCATATCTATGAGACCTTCATTTCAACTGCTGTGGACCGCTTCCATCAGAGTGTAACAATCACTGATATTAGCCAAGTTTCATTGAAAACACACTTTCCCATGTTTAAACCACAAGCAGTGGACATGACTGAACTTCTTTGTTTTTTGGGTGGGTGAACAAGCTGCCGTAGGCGGGGGGCTGTAGTGGTAAAGAGGTTGAAAACATGGAAGTAAACTGCTATTTTTTTTCTTGCAGTTATCACAGGATTTATAGTTTAACCACAGACTAAGATCAGTAGCAAACAGCACTTCATGAAGATAGATCGAATCAACCTCTGATTACAGAGCTTTACTCTGTTTATTTATGCAGCCAATGCTTCTCGGGAATGATCGAAAGTAAAAAAATTAAGACTTGACTTRATTAAATTTAAAGGAGACCAATTGTGGGTCCTAGAAATTTTTATGGTATGTCTGTGGGCTATCCAGAYCATGTTCATTCAATTTAATGCACAAAATAATTCTCAGATAATAAAATGTCCCATTTTCTAGTTCTGCCTGCTCTGACTTCCGTACAGAAGAGCTGTTTATGTTAATGAGCTCCGTTAACTCCGCCCTCCAAAAATCTGTTGACATTAACTCCGCCCTCCAAAGCCAGCGTTTACGTTAGCTTGACTAATAATAGCAGAAGCTCCGTTGTACAACCATATGAGACCCAGAGGCAGAGTTGTGGTGGCAGCTTCTTTTGATTTTTTTTCTCCCCCTCTGCTCTGCGTTCACTCTGCATGCTGTTACCAGAGCAGGGACCAGCAGCGGTCAAAATACCTCAGAAACTCGAACAAATAGGCTTTAACGAGGCTTTAATAAGCTAAACAATAGAGGTACATGAGAAAACGTGTTCATTATGAACGAAAATAAATAAATAATTAAGCTGTGTCCGTGCCAGTCTAGAACCCTGGTCTCCCACTCTCTGGTCCAACACTCTACCCATTGCCCTATTRGAGGCATGTTGTGAAATGAGCTGCGCATTACACAACAACAACCGTGATGGCTCTTTATACTGAGGAGGAGGAGCTTCACCCGGGGGTTGCTAGGTAATGGGCTGAACGCAGGTTCCGGTGGGTTGTCGTACGGCTTGTGACATCACAAAATGATGGAAGTATAAAACTTGTCGTTGATACACATTAAAAATACATTTACTTACAGTAAATATGCCCCTGGGTGCATTTTTTTGGTCCTAGGACTGTTTTTTTAAGAAGTACATACCCAAAGTTGAGTAAAAAACCTTTAAAAAGTGAATTTTGCATAATAGGTCCCCTTTAAGACTTTGAATGAAAATCTGGGTGTTTTTAAGACTTTTTTAGGCCTAAAATTTTGATTTTCAAATTTTAGATTTTTTTAGACTTTTTAAGACCCTGCATGAACTCTGTAACTAATGAATTGTTTAATTTATTAACCAGGAAACTGTCACTGAGATCACAGATCTGTGTTTCAGGGAGGTCTGGTCCTGCAGGCAGACAAGACGTGTTTTACAAACCTGACCAGGTTTATAGGACTTTTTGCTAAAGGCCCTGTCACACTAGACAACTTATAAAAGATTTTTTATATCTAAATTGCTAATAAAAGTTAGATATTTGATCAATTTGTTAGAACTACATTATGTAGATGCTGAAAAGAAGCTTCCTGTTGATTTTTCAATTCCATCTTCAATGTAGACGTCTTTAAAATGTTCATAAGTTGTCTAGTGTGACAGGGCCTTAACAAGCCAAAAGGACTAATACTAAACTAATACTAAAACTTTAGATAAAACCTCATGCAATGAGCAGAACTGTTGTGAAGGACTTTCAGCTAAAACCCACAACAAATAATAGTGAAGCTGTGTCCAGATTCAGAGGCTGGCTCCTCTGAAGGCCGAATTCGTCGGCCGCTTACGTCACAGCGCCGCGCCGGAGGCTGTCCAAATCTGAAGACTCCTCCGATGCGGACAACAAATGCGTCCGCTTTTTGACCCTGATTTGAGGGATGGGTCCGATGGATCCTGCTCGGCCCAAAATGCATTGGGGGCCGACAGGAGATTTTTTTCCTGCTTGTAATAGCGGAYGAAGCAAGAGAAAGGTGTACAGAGTTAAATAAAAATCTGGCGGTGTAAAAATGAAAAGTTTCAAGYGGTTGTGTTGTTAATGGTTTTGTCATTTGTATAGATGTGTTTTAATATCATTCTCGTCAGAAATAAAACAAGTTGGTAGAGAGAAATAAACATGCACCTACGGCCTACATTAGTTCTTTACATATTGCCTTTAAGTTAATTTTTTTGTTTTATGATATTAATACCACTAATATATTAATCGTGTTTTCATCCAGTTGTAGAGTGAATTTTTATCGAACTTTTCAAAATTCGCAAAAAATTAAATAAATAAAAATTTGAATCTAGACTGTTTCCATCCATTTCCCCTCTCGACTGTTTGATGCGAATAAATGAGGCTACGCAACGCGTGATTACGTCAGACGTCGGCAACAAGCTTTTGCGGTAGAAAACAGGAAGTGAAACTTGCTAACTAGCAGTGCCTAATCGTCTCGGGACAATGGAGCGATTTTTTTGTGAATGCCTTGCTATTGGGCAAGTTGTAATTATTCTATCTATTCGGCTAGTACAGGCTATGTTTAACGCTGCAAGGAGACGTAGGGAAATAAACGCAATGTTAAACTACGCAGCAGAAAATCGCCTTTCTGCTGGACGAGGGACGAGGCAGGAAAGCGGAAACAGCTGAATGTCACGTGAGGTAAATATACGCTACCTCAGAATTTATTCGGCAAATGTTTCCATGTCCCGTTTTGAGCATTAACTACTTTGCGAATCATCCAAAAACCGCCTCAAGCGAGCGTAAAAACTTTTCAGCGAATTGAGGATTTTTTTTCCCGAATTTTGCTGTTTCCATTAGGGCCGTTTGTGGCAACAAACGATTATTTTTATAATCAATTAATCACTGATTATTTTTTGGATTAGTTGACTAATTGGATCATACGCTAATTGAATATAAAACATACAGCTTATCGTGCCAGAATGCAGCTGCTATTATGGGCGGCACAACGGCTCAGTGGTTAGCACAGACGCCTCACAGCAAGAAGGTCCTGGGCTCGATTCCCGGTTCGGACCTGGGGTCTTTCTGTGCGGAGTTTGCATGTTCTCCTCGTGCTTGCGTGGGTTTTCTCCGGGTACTCCGGTTTCCCCCACAACACAAAAACATGTACAATAGGTTGCCTTCAGGCTCAGGCCGCCCTTGAAAAAGAGATCTGAGATCTCAATGGGATTTGCCTGGTAAAATAACAGTAAATAAATAAAAATAAATTATATAACCATCGTTAGATTTTAGCTATATGCTAACTAAAAATAATTGCTGTGTAAGGCAAGTTCTGCCTTACAGATATTGCATTGCACAGGTTTCTCTTTCTTAAAATGATCCCACACTTTTGAACTTCGTTGCCAGGTAGCCATGATACCAGAGCCTGTCTGTATAATGTCTTGTGACATCCATGGCCTACCCCAGTTACCACTACTGTGCATGTGTGTCAAGGACAGAAAGACAGATGTGGCAGTGGAAGGTGTCAAAGCAGTTTGGAGAGAAAAACAAAGTAAAGAACAACAACAACAAAAAAAAGAAAATGATTAATCGATTATTAGTCATCGATTATTTTAATAATCGATTAGTCRTCGATTAATTGTGGCAGCCCCAGTTTCCATCTGACTTTTTTTCGACACTTCTAAATGCGCATCAAAAAGCCTTGATGGAAACACGGTTAACGATATTTTGATAAATTCAATCTATTTTTGATTTTGTTTGGCATCATTACGGCTGCTAGTTGACAGGACGTACGTTGGGTAAGAGCAGGAATAAAGCAGAAGACTAGACCTCCCAAATTTACAGCCACTTTTTTCCAATCTTCGCGGTCGACCAAGAACCCGGCCCACCTTGACCTGGTAGGCCGGGTACTTTGAAGCACCCTGGCCCTGGATTTGGACACAGCTTACAACTGACTAAACTGCACCCTTTTTTGTGTTTTCTAAAGTGAGTTGGCTCAGGCGGCCATTTTAAATCAGGTTAGCTATTAAAGTTAATCCATACTAGATGTACAGTATATCCAGTGATTGTAAGTTTCACTGAAATAAATGCAGTGGTTCATGAGAGTTTGCAGACAGGTTTAAGAACAAAATACCACAACATGTTGTGTTTGGAGCTATGTGTTGAGAAAACCTTCAGCTATAGATACATCATGTTTTAATTTAATGTCTGYAACACTGAGCTGCAGCTTTTTTTGTGTTTGTTCACACCAAACAGCAATAATCAAAAGTGCAACAGTTGTCACCTTTTCTCCAAACTCTCTCTGTTGTCATCTGTCCGTCCACTGCTTTTCCCCCGTTCTAGACATCTGTTTATGCAAACCTGGACACAAGAAAAGACRTCTTGTCCTCAGTTAAAAGCTCAGAGTGTAACTAAAACCCAGCTCAGCTTCTGCAACGTCACCTCATTGCCGCAGTCGAAGAAAAGCACAAATCTGACGTCGGCGTGGCCGTCCATGACCCGGTTCCATCCCTGAAGGTTGTCCTCATTACGGGGGAAACCGTCAATAAGGAAGTAGCTCTTATCTTCCTTTTGGCTTTCCATGGCCTAACAAAGAGAATGTCACACTRATGAGAACTTTTTGTGATGAAGTAAAAAAAGAAATAGACAAAGTACAGTATCTACAGATCCACAAAGCAGAGATGAAAAGTTTCTGCTGACTCTAAAACAGACAAAAGATATTCAAAGAAGAACTAGAGATGGAAAAATAATCTCCAGCTCTCCCTCTGTTGGAACAACATTTTTCATATGCACTGTAAGTAAAGTAAGACATAAAATATATCAATGATCAATAATTTCAGTATTGAAATGCAGCAAATGTGCTTTAACTGATTATTTTTGTCAATCAAAGCTTTTAAAATACATGATTCTTGTGTAAAAGTGCCAAAGTAACGACTCAAAYGTGTGGAACAACAAGAAAAAGCACAAGGGTCAGACCCAAACAGCCTGAAATACTCTGCATTTAGTTGAATTTGAAAAAATCACTACAGTGAAACATTTTGTAAATAACTTATCAGCTCAGCGAATTAGATACAGAGTGACAAAAGGAGCAGAGGATGATCCTTTCTAAAGCACTCCACACCAAAGCAAAGCAAGAATGGTTATTTCAGATGAAGTTTGTTTTAAATCAGCTGGGTGGAAAGGTTTTGGCTCCCACTGATTCACAGCAGAAGAGGATGTAACGTGCAAAACTGAAAGAGATAAATAATTAAAACGTTAAACACTCACATCTCACTAAGTTTCACTTCAAAGTTTGGATTATTTTCTGTCGTTTCAGACAAATTAGCTAAAATAAATAATAGATAATAATAATAAATAATTTTTTTTCGTTTATTGTTCTATTTTTTTTTAAAGGAAAAGCTATTTCGTCTTTTTTTGTTGTTTTTAAATACCCACAACAGTAATTATTTGTATGAAAATATGTGATCAATACTACCGGTACTAGTACAAAAAAGTAAAACGTGTTGATTAGCTCATGCTAGCCTGTTGTGTACTTAAATAATAATCCATCAGAATTATCTTTAAAGAATTTGATGACTACATATTAATAAGAATTGAAAAAAATGCTTGAATAAATCATTTGTACTAGTTTTTATGAAATTCAGTATAACCTATATGCAGTATTTTTCTTGTTCACATTGATATGGTCTTTTCATTAGTCCTGATGTGTAAAAATAATAAATAATAAAATTCACAATATATTTTTTAGTTTTATAATGTCACCTCCACAGGCCAGAAAGTTTTCCAAAAAGGCCTCAAAAAGGACCACCAGTTGATAGAATAGAATAGAATAGAACGAATAGAAACAGTCTTTATTGTCGCACGCGGGGTGATAATCAGTTATAGCTTGTTTTGCAGCTCTGGACACATTTTATTAGTGTCAAGTAGCAAAAATGGCTCTTTTGAAAGGTTGCAGACCCCTGGCTTAGAGCATATTAATCCTGATTTAAAGAATAAGTCGACCGGATTGGACTCATACCTTCCTGAGTAAGTTGATGGTGATCTCCACTGGCACTATTTTACCCTCCTTGATGTAGGTGTCAATGAGCTGCCCGTCCGTCGAATCCTTCCTGCTTCGCTCTGCCCTGAGCAAATCCCCAGCTGACAAATGAGTGCAGCTGTAGGTCTGAGAGACAAAAACACATTATTAATCATATTTTCACACCATACATAATCTTGAGTAAGAGGAAAAACAACTGAACCAGTCCATGAGGGAATTTTAATAATTTCAGTTTGTTTATAAAGACAGGGAAGCTCTGAACTGAAGACGGTGTTTACAGRCAGAAAAAGATCCTTCTTCCTCCTGGCTAGGAGAAAGTCGGTCCTTGTACAGTGAATGAAAGGAGTGCCTGTGCAAGGCCGTCATTCAGGTCTAACCAGTGAGTAACGTCTGTCAAACAGACATGTGAAGGACCATTTCATCCAGAGGAAAAACTTGATCTGGGAAAACAAGAAACATAAGTCCTTCTTACTGGATCTATCCGAACTAATCCAGCCCTGCTTAACCTGTAAGACTGCATGAACAGACAAAAGGAAACAGTCTGCAGTCACTGTTAAAAGTCTTTATTATTTTTTTTCCCTTTAAACAAGGCAATGGCAGTTTTCTCAAACAAAAAGTTATGGCTTTTTGTTGTTTGAGCGATGCATATAATCAAGGCTGAAACATGATCCAAGAAAGAAAAGTGGTCCAGAAGCCAYTTTAAGCAGGTAGAAAATGTTGAGGTTTGACAAATTACATAAGAAGTGAACTTAATTTTAGTAGCAGCAGCAGCTCTTAYAAAACGATGTCAGTTTCTGGCCCAGTTTAACATCAGTTTGTACAGAAGGTCATGAAGGAGGTAAAACAGACAAAGTGATGGTAGAGGTTTGTGATGAGGCTGAAACTGATCGAGCACTAATGTGGTTCTTGACAAAACTAACGTCATTATGAGGAAGACTAGTAAAACTATGGATCACCATGCAGCAGACAATACAGTCATGTRGGGACTTTGATAAAACTTTCAAACTTATTTTTGAGCTGTTTTTCCTTTTTTCTCGTAAGGATTTATGAACTGACTCCAAAACTATTTAGTGTTTTTTTTTTTTTAATCGGACCACCCATTTAGGATTTAGAGGTCATTAAAAAGGTTGAAAATTAGGAAGCAAGTGCAGCATTAAAAAATATCAGAGCCCCATAGAGCAATTCACAATTTCACATCAAGTTTTCAACCCAAAGCAGAAAACAAATTAGATAAAACATTTAGAAAGTTTCAAAATGATATTGTGGGGGCGGGGGAGTGACTGAAGATCACAAAAACCTGACCCACACACTGCCGGGGTCGGACAATGCATTAATCAAAGTACCTAAATCAAGAAAACATCAGTCTCCCTTTACTTTTCAGAATGACAAAGTAAGAAACACACTGTGAAGACAGGCATTGCACTTAAAAAACACGCCATGAACCAGTCATTGACCTCATTACAACTAAACACTGTAGGATAATCAGAACAGAAAACAGAGAAACATCACAAAAAACTTTCAGTTTCCTTCAAATGTCCTTCTTCCAGCTCCTCTGGGAGCACTCCTCTCCCAGGTTGAGCAGAGTTACAAATCTCTCTAGTGTCAGGGGKACATGTCTAAAACACCTTCTTGAGGGAGAGCCCAGCTGCCCTGCAGAAAACTCAKTTTGACTGCTTGTATCCTTGATCTTGTCCTTCTGAGGGTAGTGTCCCTCAACCAGATGGGATTACTAGACCCTGGCCCTGGATCCATGCCTGGGAAAGGGGCTCACTTGCCAGCACCTGGTAACCGTGCCTCAAATGATACAGTGGTTTGCAAAAGTATTCATACCCCTTGAACTTTTCCRTATTTTGTCACATTACAACCACAAACATAAATATAT